GACCACACATGGAAACGCTGCGACCATGGGCCAGTCAGACACCCTAGGGTGACTCAGGCCCCAGCTTGCCATCATGTGGGACCACTGCAGCGGTGGCCGGAGCAGGCTCACCAGTAGCCCCAGGGCTCAGGCCTCCATCTTACTGTGTCTGAGTGCTTGCTTAGCACCTGCCACATGCAGCACCTCCTGGGAACCAGGAGCTGGCACCCTCACCCAGCTTCCCAGCAAGAAGCCAGCAGGACCAGGCGTCTGCTCCAGCCATGCATCTGTGTTTCACCGGTTGTAACAGAGAAATGAAACTCCGAGCTCAAGGGAGAAAACCAGCCCAGGAGCACTCAAGCCACCATAGTGGACCAGGGCTTTCCTGCCTCTGCTGTCCCCAGGCTCAAGCTCTTCCTGGACACTTCCAGAACATTCCCCTGCCTGAGCCCAAGTGAACACGGGCATTCTGGGCACACACCCACAGCCTTGAGGAAGGGGGCAGGCGATGCCAGTGCAGACTCCAGCGTCTTTGTGGTTCCTGCTTTGTTGGGAAATATTTTCCCTTAAGAAAGCATCATTCTTGAAGTGAGAACTCCAAGTGTTTGAAGAGCACAAATTCTAAGCAAAGCATGCAGTGAATGCTTGAACTAGAGACATCTGCTGCAGGAAGACATTGCCAGGATCCCCTGGGGACGCCCCTAGTGCTCCCCACCCCTGCCGCAGCTCTGGGGCTCAGTCCTGGGCGCCTTCCGCTGTGCTGTGCTCGCTGCCTTGAATCAAGTCAGCACATTTCCCTTTCATGGTCATTTTGATTTTGCAGAAGAACGAACCAGAAGCCACACCAGTGAGCAAGGCAGATACAGCCCCGGCGTCCTGGCTTGCTTTTACCAGCCGCCTTTCTTTAGGATAGCACTCGGCAGCAGCACTCACTGCATTTATCAGAGCTCGATGACACTCAGGAAGGACTCCAGAGCTGCTGCCAGCAGCCTCCGCCCGTGGGATGAGCTGGCGGGAGCGGGGCCTCGTGGCAGCGTCTCTTGCGACAATCAAGTTTCCAACGTCAACACCCCCACGCATTGTGGTCACAGCTCATCTAGTTGCCGTCTGATAGCACCCTGGACACAGCCGAGTACCCCTGCTCCTCCCAGTTTGGGAAACCTAAGGCATGGCTCTTTTTACAATGCTATTTTTTTTTTTTAATTTTTTATTTATGTGTGTGTGTGTGTGTGGCAGCTCAGCCCACCAGGGGGCGGGGCTGGCTGGCATGTGGTGCTGGGGGATTGAACCGCGGTCCCCGTGCTTTGCCAAGCTTGTTCTAAGTAGGTGCTTTAGACCACTGAGCCATCTCACCAGCCCCTACAATGCTATTTAGGAAATGGAGACTCATAGCGTCTTGTGTGAAAACCCAGATGCCCCTGCCTGCCCTGCCCGCCCAGTGGGGCAACACAGGGGGGACGCAGCTCTGGCGTCCTGGTTACCTGCGAACTTCTGCAGCAGGTGAGGAGGGGACTTCTTGGCTTCTGGTTCGTATCTCATGTTCGCAGTGGGCAGGGATAGGGGACACGGTGGCCAGAGGCAGGACACCCAGCAGGGCTGACACCCCGCAGAGGGCCACGCCCAGACCCTCCCACGGCACAACAGTACAGCACCCACTTCCCCCTCTCAGTGTCCTCCAACTTGGAAGGAACTGGCCACCTACAATGTCCACTGTTCCGTGGAGCCTGAGCTGGGCAGTCCCACTGTTAGCTGTGACATCACAGGGCCCTGTGAAGTCACACAGCGTCACTTGGGTCCATCCACTGTTCCCCACAGGTGCTGTGTCCAGGCAGCTGGGAAAGAGGTCTTGGTGCAGGGATGTTGCCCCTTGGGTCACCCAGCCTGGCTTGGAGCAGACGACTGGCTCTGGCCCGGGATCCCTTTGCACCTCCAGGGAGAAGGCCAGACTACTGAGGCTCCGACTGCCACGTGGAGGAAATCTGCAGTGACTGCATGTGCTGGGGAAGGGAAGGTCACCACTGTCACAGGGTGAACGAGGCCAGGGCAGCCCAGGCCGCCAGAACCAACCCTGGGTGAGAAACCACAAAGCAGGTGTTCCATTTGGCCGCCACCGCCCACCCCAGTACCACCTGGCCACACCTGCGTCCCTGTCTGCTGCACAGCAGCAGTTGGCCAGGCTCCTGACAGCATCTCACTGCCGTTGCCATGGCGGCAGCAGCCCAAATAATGGACTCTCCCCCACAGTCAGACACCAGCTTTTCGCAGTTGCCACTCACATCCGCCCCTGCGTTATTAAATGTCCATCACTTCTGTTTACAAATAATCCGAGGTAATAAAACACCTCAGGAAAGCATGCACAGCAGTGGCAGCTGGGCCCGCCCAGAGTGGCCTCAGCAGTGTCCGGGGGCCCCTGTGTTCGGCCCCCGCTGCTGGAGCTGGTCC